AACCGAATCAAATGAAAGCAAGCTGTTGGGTCAAGGATTTTCTGATGCATTGTCCCTCCCGAGGATCTCATAACCTTTTGGTGCAGAGCTAGAAATATAGAGAGCTGCAAGTACTGCAAAGAAACAGTGCTGCAGTACCGTAAAGACCGAGCAGAGAGGGGAGGGAACTGTAGGGCACACAAGTGGGGAGCCTTCAATGAGTGGCAAAGATTAGAGAAACGGGCAGTAGAGGAGAAGACGACTCCCATCTTCCTGTTCCTGCAGAGCAAAGGACCTGGGAAAGAAGGGGATGGACAGGGAGAGAAGACATCCCAGCACAGCCGTAAGAAAATGAGTTATCTGATAAGAAGTGAGCAAGCCCCCCTCCTTGTGAAAGAGGATCTGACAGCAATCCTCAGTCCTGCTTCCCTTATTCCCATCTTGCCAAGATTGAAGAATGGTGGGAAGATTGCTGAGTGAGCTTAACAGATGGGTTTGTACTTCTCATGTTGCTTCAGGTTGCATTAATCTCTGCGGTGGGTTCTCATTTAGCTGAGAAAATGTCACCAAAACAAATGAACCGGAGCAGGCTGATATGCTATCAACAGATGTAGAGAATCTCTTCTGCATATTGTAGATAGAGGCAAACAGTCGGCATTCTCACTTGTCTGCTCCCTGCAGCCCCCGCAAAACTAATCAAAGATATCGCTGGCTGAGTTGGGAGTATAAATGCCTAAAACCAGCAGACACTTTTAACAGAAAAATGGGTAGAATCAGTCAGGGAATGTGGACGATGACAGGGAAGTGAGGTGACATAGCAGAGGAGTCCAAGCAGTCAGGGAACAGGGACAGAGGAGGGGTCAAAGTACAAAGGAGACATAGTTGGGAGCTGGGATAACTGCCTTGGAGATGGGCATGATTCATTTCTGTCCATGAAACCATTAAACACCTGCCTGCATATGCATTCGCATTTCAAGAACACGCCAGTACTTGTACTTTTCTTACATCCTCTCCTGGTTCCCGAACCAACATATTCCCTTTAGTGTATGAGGTGCACGAAAGAAAAGCAATGTTTTGCTGGGCTTGCTGAGAGTGTCCATGATGAATAAAAAGGACAGAGGACCAGCAAAGGAAGCAACAGGGATTTGGTGCATTCATCAGCCAGTTATTCCTGAAGAGGCAGAGAGTGTAGACAATGCCATGTAACAGTGGACACTAAGCACCTCTGTTTAAAGTATTAAAGCAGGATTAGGACTGCCAAAAGTTCCTTAGCACATCCATAAACCAAAGAGTGAATAAATCTAAGGTGAAAGGAAGGTGAGGAAAACTTCAGGTCACACAAACATAAGTTCAGAAAATCAGGGAATACAAAACAAATACAATCTCAATTTTGCCTTAATTAATCGGTCCTTGAATGTTGTCCCAACACATCAACCATTACACCTGCTAAGATTTTCTCTTTTCCATTGCTAAAGAAACAGGGAACAGAGCAGACGAACACTGTGACACCAAAACAGAACACTTGTTTCTTCCTGAAGTTCACTGTACTCAGTGGGCCTGCTTTAAACCAACCGCCCAGATGATGTGAGTAACACCCAGCCTTCTGCTGCGCTTCCAGCCAAGACGTATCCTTACTTACGCTTCACCGCACTCGAGGGATCACTGCCGTGTGTGTTAACAGATGGGCTACAATATACACCTACGCTGACACTACTTACCAATGTGGTACTGAAAGGAGGACGCTGGATCTCTGGGGGTTCACACACACCTCTCCTCGGCTCTTGCCGACGGCTCCCCAGCTCATCCCTCCACCGCTCCGGCAGTGGCAGCACAGGCAGCCACAGCTCTCAGATCACCGCACACCGTGAAGGCAGGGAGCAGCACATTTGGATTCACCACGGTACACTCACTCGGAGACTGGCTAGATACTGTTTGACAACACATTTTGCTTTAATGCATAAATTTGATAGAACGTAATTTCCCTTTATATATGTACTCTGTTGGCCAGAGTGGCTTTCCTATTTTCATCAAGCAGACAAAAGGTTTAAGTTCTATAAAAGGTGGCTGATATTTAAGTTTTAATAAAAATATATTTCACATATTTCATTCTTTCCTTAGACTGACCTAGTCTACAATATATTATTTACATAACTGCTGCAATATCTATTTCAAAACTGACTAGACAGCTCTCTCCAGAACTGTAGGCTGTCCTGCCTGTCACCGTGATGGGTAAACAGTGTCACCTTTTCAGGGCCCGATGAAATATAGAGAAGTAGTAAAATGCACCATCCATCACAATGGCACTAAGTAGGTTTTTGAAGTAGATTTCAGATCACAAATGCTCACATTTTTACTCACAAATGCTGTTTAGACTGTTACCAGAAAGCACAAATTGGATGGCTCATATACAATGGCCATATGATGAATGGACATGACAGGTGGTCAAAGAAAATGAGTCTTGCTATTCTACAAATAACCTTGTCAACATGAAAGTAGTGCTGTACCTCTGCTGGTAGCCAGACCGCAATAACTTAATGGTTTTATTTACCTGAACTTCTAGCAAACCAAATATACAAATGAGATAAAATGAAACAGCAGCATTGAAGCAACATTAGCAATTCAACCTGATTACATGACACACAATAGAAATTGTCTACTACGGATGTGTCACATTTGAAAGAAAATTATTCAGATTATGAGTAGCTGTTACAAGAATACCTTTTCATAGGAAAACTCTCTTGATCTTGCAATCACAACTCACCGCAAGATATTCAAAATATGCAACTTGTATTCCCACTGTAAGCAATCAAGTCACCCTCTGATGGCTGAACCCAGCAACAGCCACCTCCTGCTACTTCTCATTTAAAGTTTTTCTACTTCCATTAGTTTAAATAGTAGAGATTACTGTATAGGATTGAAAGTCAGGAAGGTTAGATCACTACCTACTTATCTGTAGCCTGAACAAATAAGGAAATTTCCGTTTTAGGCAAAACTCTAGATCTAAGACACTTCAGGTAGAGATTTTGAAGAATAAAAGAAAACATCTGAAGTTTTGTGAGGGTGCTAGGTATTTCGAAGAACTGACAGTAAAATTGTGCACAAAGTGTCATTCTTTGGCTCGAGTACAAGCTTTGAGTTTTGCCAAAGCCAAGGTCCAGCCCTAGTGATGAGTACAACGCAGTGTGTGTGGTCCTCATTTCTGCAGGACTCACAGAGAAAACTGCCCTGAAATACAACTGAAAATTGTACATGTGTTGCTGGCAATAACATCAATGATTTTTCCTGGAACATTGGATTTCCTTTAGTCTGACAAATTTGTTAGCAACACATTGATTTTCATGAAATAAAATCTCAAAGGCCACAACTGTACTTTTATCTTATAGTTACTCTTATTAAGTTACAACAGTAAGATAATATTACACATTGAGTTTCTAAGTGATAAATGTGGGAAGCCAAAACCATTCATTAGCACTTTTTACTTGCCCATGGAAAAGTTAAAGCATACATCATGCAAGTTAGGACCCACCTTTGCTTACTTCATTTCACTTCTTAACAACAAATTTTAACTTGAAGTGGTTACGTTGATAGAGCCCCAGAACAGAGACCGTGTAGAGATAATAACCATGAGACTCAATATGGAAAGCAGGCATGTAAGGTACACAAAAACAGGGGATCGAGAGAAGTCTCTCTCCCAGAGGAGAACAAGAACTCCATTCCTTCTCCTTTCTGGAATAAATCCCTGGGGCTAAAAAGCTTCAACGCTTTTAACAAAGAGAAGATGATGCTTGTGGACTCCAGGATGAGAAACTTAAGGATCTGACTTTCGACTAGCACTCATTTTTCCTACAGTCCAAAGTTCAAAATTATATTAATAGTCCATAAAATGGATTAGTTAGCCTCATACTACTTTCCCCATTTTGACTCATTAAAAGATTCCCACAGTGCATTACATGTTATCAATAAACATTATGGGCAAACACTATCCCAAACAAAAGGAAAATACACAACAGTTGCATTTTACTGATAGAAATTCAGTAATTGATACGATATAAATATTAAGATATTCACAAGTATAAAGGTATTTGGGAAGAGGTATCCTCCAAACCCAAAGCCATTCGCAGTCTGCTCTGATATAGTCTATTAGTGTTCTAACTCATGAAAAGAAACATACCTTTTAAACAGTAAAGAAACCAAGGTGGAAAAAACCCTGTATCATTGGAATAACATACAGTGTTTTAAAAAGAAAAACAACAGAAATGCAGTTAGCAGTGAAATTGCAATTTTTAAATTTCAGAAATATTTATTGAGATTTATACTATCTCAGCTAGGAAAGTAAACAGAAATGATGACCCGTTTGCGCACCCCCAATATATTTGGAAAGCAAATATAGGAAGGCAGCCAGTGAAGACAGCAAAGAGGATAAACCAAGATAATCCAAGATCTTATTTCACTTGGCAAGTAACAAATCCCAACAGGCTGGATCTTTTCACTGACAAAACTTCCTAACAAAAGCTACAGTAAGATAAAACTACAAATTGGGGTTTTCAAGAGGAAACAGCAGATGTGTCAACTGAGTTGCCACAGAAGAAAGCATGAGAGATCCACGACCATAATTCAGGAGCTCCAGGTACTAGCCCAGCACTCCCACCAGTCTCACCGCAGAAAACCTCATCTTACCCTTCCTACAGGCATCCCTCAAACCAGTAGCACTTATACATCAACAAGGATAAACTGTACCTCTAGACACAGCTTTCAGATTTTTACACCCAAGCAAAAGATGCCAATTCATAAACTCAGATACTTTAAAAAAATAATTAAAAAAAAAAAGAAAAATCATATGAAGCTTTCAGGTCTGACTAATTTTTAAGTTTGAATTGAGATTGGCCACGTCATATTTTAACTAAATGTTTATTTTAAGGCTCCACATTTCACCACATGTACTTTGCCAGCCAAGTCCAACAAAAGCTGACGTTTTCCAACTCTATTTCACCACAAATGACAGAGACAAATGGTCATATTACCTCAAGAGTTCCTTTGGCAGAGTAAGCTGCATAAGAGTACAGGAGATCTTGGCTATGAAGCGTTTTGGTCTCTCTGTTGCACTGTTGTCCACTAGGATAAAAGCATTCACCGCTGGTTTTCAGAGTTACTGTGTTTGAAGAAGAGCCCGGTAGGTCAAGCAAAACAGAGTAATTTACCAGCCGGACATCTTCAAGGCCTTGGGAACTCCACTGAACCAGAATTTTCATTGCAATGTCTACATCATCTTCTCTAGGGAACTGTAACAAATCTCTGGAAAAAACATACAAGTAAACATTAGTTTATTTCCCACCAAGACATTTGTACCTTAGTACAAATCAGTCCATAATTTTATTCATAATATATCATCAAACACGCCAAAAAAAAAAATCACCTTTCATTATTTTTCAAATAATTTCTTACCAATTATGAGACAAAAGCAGATGCTTTTGGGGAAATAAAAATAAGAAAAAAAAATTCTAGGAAACGTATCCAATTGAAACAAAGAATCATACAGAAATCATCACAGTAATTGTTTCAAAATTCATGTCTCTGGTGCTGATCAAGTTTCTGATATAGCATCAACTTAATGAACCATTGAATATGAAGAACACAATCTGAAGCAACACTTCAGGGAGGGCATGACACTGAAAATTAGCTGTAATTATACATTTGGCTTAAATTCATCAAGTAAAGCAAATTTGCTAAACAGAATGGAACTGTTCCCCCAAATATTGTGCTAGCTGTCAGAAGGTTTTCCTCAGATTTCCTACCTGCACTGAAAGATTATCTGAGTCAACAGCTTGGCAAGCATACGACATGAGTTTGGAAATTATTTTGGCAGTATCTACCAGATGGGCCAACTGAGACTTCAGATGGGTTGGTCTGGGCTTGTATCACTGGGTTTGCATCACTGTGCAACACCTGCTACCAGAAGGGCCATAGGATGAAAATGGTGACAGCACGGAAAGGCTACCCTCCTCCCCAGCAAATGCCAAAAGATATGAGACCCAGAGAGTATTTTAAAGATAACTTTAGAGGACAGACATGCTGAAGGGCAACTAAA